ACGAAAATTCTCGGAATATTCCTTAGCCTTTGGACATACAGTGGATCAAAATGCCGCGCACGCTCGCGGGCGAAGAAGGCCACGTCCAAGTCCAAGAGCTTTTGCGCAAGCACCCAGAAACGATCCAGGTACGTTGTACAAAGTCGATATGATGCTTGATACACTTGATGCGTAGCTTGTCAAGGCTCTGCGCGAAAAGCGCATTCGGGACGCCAGCACGCTCCTCGAGCAAGAGAAGATCAACGTCAACCATTATGAGCCGGTGCATATGCTTCGAAGGGCTGCGCTTTTGTAAAAGTCATTTTTTGTAGGATGGAACGACGTTGCTGCATCTCGTACTAGCGACGCAGGATCTCAAACTGCTTGCAACCATGCTTGAAAACCCCAACCTTGCGATCGACGCCACCGACTCGGTACACGAAATACTTCCATTCGATCCCTTTTGACGAAGCGAATTAGAGTGGGAGGACAGCGCTTGCCATCGCACTTGCTACAGGCAACTTCGAGGCAACCTACGCGCTCCTTCAGTCAAACGCGCGGCTTGACGCTGTGGACACGGTGCACTTTTTCAATTCTCTTCTGCGATTTCCAACGACATCATAGGCCATCGTGACAGCTATCTTGCGCCACGCAGCGTCGACCAACGACACAGAGATGGTGGCAGCGCTACTAAAGCACGGCGTGCGCCCTGCGGCAACCAACGAGGTACACTCTGCGTCTCGTCGTCGGATGCTCACCTCTGTGCTGTAGAAAGGCGAGACGGCGCTGCACTTTGCGGCTGCGAACGGCCACACTGCGATCGTTCAAACGCTGCTCGAGAACGACAAGTCTCTGCTTGGTCGTTGCGACCAGGTACACTGAAACACACACGACGCAGCCATACATTTCATGCGATACAGAAGGACGTCGCCGTGAAGGGCCACAGCTGCATCAACGCCACCAACCAAGTACGTTTCTACACACTTTGCCTATCATCATATATGCAAGCAACCTTCATGTTTGGTGTAGGCCGGCGAATCCCCCCTTTTTGTTGCTACTGCCAATGGCCACATCGACGTTGTCAAGGCACTCGTACAAGCTAAGGCCAAGACCCACCATCTTTCCAATGTACTCTGAATGGCCTCTTTGGATCTCAAAATGAGCTACCATGACTGTAGGATGGCTCGACGCTGCTGCACGCTGCTGCCATCGGTGGCAACCCACGCGTTCTTGAGTACATCCTCCCACTCTGCTGCGACTTGGAGGCATGCGACGAGGTATGACACATTGCCAATCGTACAACGTGTAGTCACATCGTTCGTAATAGATGAAGCGCACGCCGCTGTACGTGGCGGCCGAGAAGGGTCATACCAGCGCCGTCAACACCCTTTTCGACAGCGGTGCCAGCGTCTTCGCCATCAAAAAGGTTGAACCTGACTACATGGTCCGAGTACTCTCTTCATACACTCTGGACTAGGGCGACAAGACAACCGTTTTTATGGTGGCCAGCAACCACGGGCCGGTCGTCAAGGCGCTTCTCAAGAAGCTTCTGCCGATGCCGACGACAAGCGGCATGTCGTACAAGGCCTTGACGCTGCATAGAGCGAACCTCGTGGCGGCCAAGGCGCACCTTGCCCTGCGCAACACAGTAAACTAGGATCCAGTCTCCTCGCTTACCTTCAGGAATGCAATGATGTAGAAGCTGCAGACAGCCGTGGACGTAGCCTCGGGCGCCGTCCGCGATCAATTGCTCGCCGCAAACACGTTCGTCGAGGCCGAGCTCCATCGTCTTGAGCAAGCGACCCAGAGAGAGGTAGTGATATCGAATTTGCAACGCAATGTGTCATGTGGCGCAGGAAGCCGCTTTGGCCGCTGCAATCACGGCGCGCGACTGGACGACCACTTTGGCGCTTTTGGGTGAAGGCGTCTCGGCCATGGCGAGCCAAGATCAAGTATACCTCCTTAACTAAACCAGCATATCTCATGTACGATGTAGGAAGCGCTCGTCGCCGCCGTCACGGACACAGGCAACCGAGAGCTCCTGCGCGCGCTGCTCTCGATGGCGGTCGACGCCAACCAGCTGGAATCGGTCGACTGCCTTCTCCTACGTGGTTGCTGACTGTTCATTTGTCATGTAGGTGCTTCAGCAAGCACTCGCTGGCGCAGTTGCCAACAACAAGGTGCTTCTCGTGATGGACGTTCTGCACACGTTTGCAAACACAGTGCATGTGACGACGACGGTGCTCTATTCTGGATTTGCTCTCTGTTGCTATCGTTTAATCGTAGAGTGGTCCGTCGCCACTGCACATTGCTGCAAACACCGGGTCGGTGGTGCTGCTCAGCATGCTTCTGGCCTGCCCTACCCTGAATATCGACGCTGTCAACGAGGTCCGGTCTTTTACTACAGTAGTGTCCACTATACTCGGTATATGTTCATAGGAAGGCTACACGGCGCTTGCATTGGCCGTGCAAACCAACCAAGTCGACGCTGCATTGGTGCTCCGTAGCGTCGGCGCGAATGTCTCGATTTTGCTACCGGTCTTTTAGTGTAATATGGTGAATCGCTCTGACGTTACACTGTAGGATGGCTCCTCGGTGCTCCACGTTGCTGCCAAGCTCTTTAACGACGCCGACTTGACGCTGCTGCACGGAATTACAGGACGGAACACAGTGCAATAGCCAAACCTTTGACAAAACGGCACAAAATGACAAATTTGAGTGCAATGGTGTGACGAATTGCATGTGTCGAATCACATAAGCTCGGGTGTCGTGGGTGGCATGGTGTACTGGCGTTGGAAGAGCTGTGGCAGCACTGTGTAGTCGCCACAGACCTTTACAGTGTT